GACCACCGCGGTTACGACCGTCAGCAGCGCCGCGGCGGTCACGCCGACCAGGTCCAGCAGCACCACGCGAGGTAGCACAAGCGCAACGAGCAGCACAAATGCGACTACCGCGACTGTGGAGTGCAGCAACACATGGCGGTCATTGCAGCTGGGGCCCGCAGCGCAATTCGCAATCGAACAAGCGCAACGAGCAGCGCCACCGCAATCATCGCGGCTTCGATCGGCCGCGCCACGACGGCGGGCATCGCGACTGAGGCCAGTAGCGCCGCGCACAGCAGCGGAAGCACGCGATTGCGACCAGCAGCAGTGCTGCGGCGGGCATTTTGGCTGTTGACCAGCAGCGCCGCCAGCAACAAAGCAGACGCAACCCATCGCTTCAGTCGGCGGCAACCCCGCGGCGGGCGCTGCGACAGGGGCAATCAGCATCGCGCGCAGTCCTCGGCGACCCCCAGGATTGGGATGGGCAGCCGAGCCGCGGCGGGCACTGCAGCTGGGCCCGCAGACCCACGCGCGGCGGCGCCAACCCATCGCGCAGCAGGACCACGACCACCGCGATTGTCACGGGCAGCAGCACGATGGCGAGCACTAAGTTCAGGGCCCGCGCCGCCACCAGGCGCTGCAGTAAAAACGCAACGAGCAGCACTTCTACGACCACATCTGCTGCATCGGGCAGCGCTGCCGCGGCGGGCACTGCGACTGGTGACCCGCCGCGACGCGCAGCAGCGCGAATTCGACGACCACCGCCTCGACTGCCGCGATTGTAGCTCGCAGCGGCACCGCAGCGGGCCCTGCGACCGAAGCTAAGAGAAACACGCGCAGTAGCACCATCACAACGTACAGTACAACAGCGACAAACCACCACGATTCATAAAGGCAGCGACGTTACGGTGGGCACAACGACGGGAGCCAGCAGCGCCACGCGCGGAAACGCAGGCGCAACGGGCAGCAGCACCACCACCGCGACCGCGACGGGTAGCAGCGCCATGGCGGGAAGTGCGAGTGGAGCCAGCAGCGCCGCGCGCATCCGCGGTACAGCAGGGAGCAGCAACACCGCCACGACCACCAGCGCGACTGTGACTGGCAGCAGCAGCAAAAGCACCAGGGCTCGCACCACGACAAGAGCACCACGCGCAGCAAAGCATGCGCAACGAGCAGCAGCACAACGACAACTGCGATGACGACGGGCAGCAGCGCGCCGGCGGGCGCGAGGACTGAGGCCAGCACCACGAGCGCAACGAGCAGCCCCAAAACACAATTGCATCTGCCAGCAGTACCTCCGTGGGCACTGCACTTGGGGCGGGCGGCGCCACGCGCAGTAGCGCACTCGCAACAAGTAGCACCACCGCGACCACCACGGTTGCAACCCACAACAACAGCACAACGACACAGACCACTAGTGGGGCGACCAGCACGCGCGCAGCATCACCGCTACGAGTACTATAGCGCAGGTCAACGGCAGTGCCAACACCATTATCACTACTCTTACACACGCCCCTAGCACTAGCACTAGCACTAGCACTAGCACTAGCACTAGCACTAGCACTAGCACTAGCACTAGCACTAGCACTAGCACTAGCACGGGTTACTAGTTACTAGCACTAGCACTGGTTACTAGCACTAGGGCTGGCACTAGCACTAGTTACTAGCACTGGCACTTGCAGCACTAGGACTGCCTCTCGCATGAGCACTAGCACTCGCAATAGCACTAGCACTAGCACTAACACTAGCACTAGCAGTAGCATTCGCATGAACACTAACACTAGCACGCGTACTTGCACTAGCATTAATACTAGCACTAGGGCTCGCTCTCGCACTCGCACTCGCTTTCGCACTCGCACTCGCACTAACGGCCTAGTGCTCGCACTGGCACTACCACACTAGCACTGGCATTGGCACTAGGACTGGCACTAGCACTGGGATTCATATTATCACTAGCACCAGCACTATCACTGTGACTGGCACTAGCACTAGCACTAGCACTAGCACTGGCACTGGCACTAGCACTAGCACTAGCACTAGCACTAGCACTAGCACAAGCGCAAGCACTAGCACTTGCACTAGCACTGGCACTAGCACTAGCACTAGCACCAGCACTCGCACTAACACTAGCACTAGCACTAGCACGACCACTAGCACTAGCTCTAGCTCTAGCTCTGGCACCAGCACTAGCTCTAGCACGAGCACGAGCACTAGCACTAGCACTAGCACGACCACTAGCACCGTCACTAGCTCTAGCACCAGCACTCGCTCTAGCACTAGCTCTAGCATTAGCGCTAGCTCTAGCACTAGCACCAGTACTAGCACTAGATCTAGCAGTCGCACTCGGGCTCAGTGAGCAACCGCAACACCGCCACCAGCGCGACTGTGACTGGCAGACGCAGCAGCAACAACAACACCACGGCGGGCACCACGCCATAGCTAGCAACACTATGCGCAGCAACACAGGCGAAACCAGCGGCAGCACAACGACACCTGCAATTGCGACGGGCAGCAGCACCGCGACGGGCACGAGGACTGAGGCCAGCACCATCACGCGCAGCAGCACAAGTGCAACGAGCAGGACCCGAGCGTCCATCGGGATTACGACTGCCAGCAGCACCATCGTGGGCACTACAGCGGGGGCTGGCAGCACCACACGCAGCACAGCACGCAACGAATAGCACCACCGCCATCACTCACCACGACTGCAACTAGCAGCGGCAGCACTAGCAGACCTTGAGCAGACGCGCGTCATCACCATCACAAGTACCATAACGAATGTCAGTACTAGTGCCACTACCACTACCACTACCACTACCACTACCGCTACCACTACCACTACCACTACCACTACCACCACCACTACCACTACCACTACCACTACCACTACCACTACCACTACCACTACCACTACCACTACCACTACCGCTACCATTACCACTACCACTACCACTACCACTACCACTACCACTACCACTACCACTACCACTGCCACTGCCACTGCCACTACCACTACCACTACCACTACTACCACTACCACTACTACCACAACCACTACCACTACCACTACCACTACCACTACCACTACCACTACCACTACCACTACCACTACCACTACCACTACCACTACCACTACTACCACTACCATTACCACTGTCACAACCACTACCACTAATTACCACTACCACTAATTTCCACTACCACTAATTACCACTACCACTACCACTACCACTGCCACTACCACTACCAATACCACTACCAATACCACTACTACTACCACTACCACTACCACTACCACTACCACTACCACTACCACTGCCACTACCACTGCCACTGCCACTGCCACTACCACTGCCACTACCACTACCACTACCACTGCCGCTGCCACTACCACTACCACTACCACTACCACTACCACTACCACTACCACTACCACTACCACTACCACTACCACTACCACTACCACTACCACTACCACTACCACTACCACTACCACTACCACTACCACTACCACTACCACTACCACTACCACTACCACTACCACTACCACTACTACCACTACCACTACCACTACCACTACCACTACCACTACCACTACCACTACCACTACCACTACCACTACCACTACCACTACCACTACCACTACTACACTACCACTACACTACTTACACTACCACTACCACTACCACTACCACTACCACTACCACTACCACTACCACTACCACTACCTACTACCACTACCACTACCACTACCACTACCACTACCACTACCCACTACCACTACCACTACCACTACCACTACCACTACCACTACCACTACCACTACCACTACCACTTCCACTACCACTTCCACTACCACTACCACTACCACTACCACTACCACTACCACTACCACTACCACTACCACTACCACTACCACTAACACTACCACTACCACTACCACTACCACTACCACTACCACTACCACTACCACTACCACTACCACTACCACTACCACTACCACTGCAATTGTTTCTACCACTACCACTACCACTACCACTACCACGACCACGACCACGACCACGACCACGACCACGACCACTACCACTACCACTACCACTACCACTACCACTACCATTACCACTACCACTGCCACTGCCACTGCCACTGCCACTGCCACTACCACTACCACTACCACTACCACTACCACTGCCACTGCCACTACCACTACCACTACCACTACCACTACCACTACTACCACTACCACTACCTCTACCTCTACCACTACCACTACCACTACCACTACCACTACCACTACCACTACCACTACCACTACCACTACCACTACCACTACCCGTACCACTACCCGTACCACTACCACTACCACTACCACTACCATTGCCACTACCACTACCACTACCACTACCACTACCACTACCACTACCACTACCACTACCACTACCACTACCACTAGTTACCACTACCACTAATTACCACTACCACTACCACAACCGCTACCACAGCCACAAGCACTACCACCACCATTATTTCGATCACCACCACTAGCACTACCATGACCACGACCACGACCACGACCACTACCACTACCACTACCACTACCACTACCACTACCACTACCACTACCACTACCACTACCACTACCACTACCACTACCACTACCACTACCACTACCACTACCACTACCACTACCACTACCACTACCACTACCACTACCACTACTACCACTACCACTACCACTACCACTACCACTACCACTACCACTACCACTACCACTACCACTACCACTACCACTACCACTACCACTACCACTACCACTACCACTACCACTACCACTACCACTACCACTACCACTACCTCTGCCTTTACCTTTACCACTACCACTACCACTACCACTACCACTACCACTACCACTGCCACTGCCACTGCCACTGCCATGACCACTTACCACTACCACTACCCCTACCCCTCAACTTTTGTCTCATGTGTGTATAGTTCCACTGTGCCACCTTGTCGGCCAATAGGGACAATTTCGGGGTGGATCTATCGTGCCTGTCAGAAAGCGGTACAACATCTACTCGTTTCGTTTCGACATGGGCGTTCACTCGTCGGCGTGCAGGGTGCTGGCTAGTCGTGTCTCCCCAGTGTGTTACTTGAGCTGTTTTGGAGGCTGATATGGTTCTTCTGGTGATAAAAGTGTGGGTGCGGACAGAGGGGGGGGTCACCAGAAGCCAACGGATCACCCAGCCCTCGGGGTCATTCGGGGCCTGCTTGGGGAAGAATCCAGGGGGCATCTGAGGAGCGTGGGCGCCACACTGGAGCTTCAATCGATGCCACAACATATATCACCTCCCCCCGCCAGGCCAGCCGCGAGGGCATTCCTGGACACCATCAAGCCGCCATTGTCTTGCTCGCGTCCGCGGCGGAGCTGTCGAAGGAGCTGACCTCGATTTGCCTGGAGATGCGCGTGGCCCCCGCGCTGGCCGCGGGGGGTGGGTTGGCCCGCTTGAACAGCCGGGTGAAGAGGGTGGAGCTGTCCGCGAAGCTGGTTGTGCCGATCGTGTTCGGCTGGTTCGCGTCGCGGGTGGTGCGTTCCGAGGAAGCCCCTCCGATTCGTGTGCATCGCCCTGCCCTTCCACGCTACCCGCAGTTTCCTTTTTCCTTTCGGAAGGCGGCGTGGGGGACTTCCAGGAAAGCTTCCGAAAAGGGGAGAGGGAAGGGCAGGGAAGGATAGGTAGAACACGGAGCAATCGCCCAGGTGGCGGGCTCTGCGGCGCTGGTCATCTCTGTGTCCGTCGCGTTGCTGATGGGTGCTGCGGTGGTGGGGTGGCTGTGGCGGCAGCTCCCGCTTGGTGATCTGAGCCGACACGAACGTATAGTAAGAGAGAAGGACGGAAGTATGAAAGTTGCGAAACGATTTTTTTCTCACCATTCAACTCCTCCTTGGGGACGTATGGGAGGAGCCAAGGCGGAGGAGAGGAATAGATGAGGAGAGGGGGTGGGGGTCAGGCGACGAGGACAGGAAACCATGATTCATGATACTCGAAGCCTCTGTAAGATGGATGAGGCAGAAGAGGAGGATCTCCTCACTGCGCAGATCGGTTAACATCCTACCAGGAGGGGCGTAGCGCGGGTTCGGCAGAGCTGGGCGTCGGACGCCTTGCGGCGACGGCGCTGCCTGTCTTGGGCATGAGCCTGGCCTTCTCCATGCTGTTCTGCTCAGTGCTGAGCGACCATGACCCTGTCGCGACGGCCTACCTGGCCAGCCAGGGTGTCTCCACCGCCAGGCCTCGGCCGTCAGAAAAAGAGACAGAGCCCGCCGATGGGGGTGCGTGGGGCCCAAGAGTATCTACTCTGCTCCCCCAGACGTTTTCCCCAGACAGTGCTTGCACTCAGTGGGTGGTTTTCGAAGCAATTGGCCGGCGTTTCCTCGACTAGCGGCCGCCTGTGGCCACCCGTGGGCGCCGCGTGGGCGCCCCGTACGCTGGCTGGCGTCTCGGGTCTCTCGCCTGGTGGCCGTCCGTGGCCGCCCGTGGGCGCCTCGTGCGCTGGCTGCACCACGCGTCTTGCGCCGCATGGCCGGCACCTCGTACTCCGCACCACGTAGCTTTCACCGCGTAGTCTGCACCACTTGTCTTGCACCAAGTAGCTTGCACCACGTTGCTTGCACCACACCGAGTGCACAATGTAGCTTTCACCACATACAATCCACTTCCAGAGTGCACAAACTCTCTGTTCTGAGTCCCTCATCAAGCTTTGTCTTAGTGTGTGTGTGTGTGTGTGTGTGTGTGTGCGTGCGTGTGCGTGTGTGTTTGTTTGTGTGCGTGTGTGTGAGAAAGTGTGCAGGCCCAGTTCGTGCTTTGTCCCTTCTGACTGGTGGATGTAGGTTGGTTTTCCGTCTCACGAGATCGTTGTGGCTTCTTTTCAGTACAGACTGCAGTGGACATCGCTTGTTCACCAGCCAGTTCAGCGCTTCAGTGGCCTGCGAGCGCGAAAAGTGTTGTGTGAGAGAGAGGGAGGGAGAGAGAGAGAGAGAGAGAGAGAGAGCGAGAGAGTGAGAGAGAGAGTGTGACAGTGTCTGCGTGTGTGTCCGCGTGTGGAACAGAACGGCTCACAGTCTACCGTTCTTCCTCTTTTCGTGTTTCGTTTTGTTTATCCAGTGCATTTGCGCCAGCGTGGACCCCAGAGAGTGAGTAATTACTTCATGTATGCGTAAGGTCTGTAGTGCAATCTATGTAGTGTAAGTTGTGTGGCAAGCGATGTGAGGTGCAGTATCTGCGGTGTAAGCTGTGCGATGCAAGATCTGTGGTGCGGTGTAAACGATATATCGCAAGCTTTGTCGTGTAAGCCATGCGGTGCAAGCTATGTGGTGCACACATGTGCGGGACAATACATGTGGTGTAAGCTATGTGGTGTAAACTATGTGATGGGAGCCATGTGTTACAAACAGTGTTGTGGAATCCATGCTCAGATTTTGAAGCGGTAAGCACGAAGGGTAAGACGTCCGGAGGCCGCCCTTGCCCTTCCGCGCGCGATCCATCGCTCGCGGCTCACGCTCTCCTGTCCCCGCGCGCATGGCCCCGCACGCTCTCCTGTCCCATATTGCGGAAGAGTGCTCCAGGGCGCTCACTACGGCTACCGCAGTCTGGGGGGCTACAGGGCCGCCTTCTCCTTGCCCCGACTGCACCCCCAGCTGGTCTGCAGCCGCGGCGAGACGCCCACGGAGGTGCTCTGTGACGTGTGCCTCTCCCGCTTCTCGTGGACCACCGCGGTGCTGTGCGTGCACCTCGGCGTCGCGGTCGGCTACCCGCTCGCCCGGGCGGCCAGTCGCCCAGCTGCGCCCCCACCACCCCCAAAGGAGCCTCCAGCAGCTCCGGCTGCCCTTTCGGAGGAGATTGCGAAGCAGCAGGCCAGTCGCTTTCGTGGTGCTCTTTCTCGTGCTGATCTGTGATCACGGCGAACCCATTGTGGGCTGGGCTTGCGCGAGGGCGACGCGATCGGGGTTCGCTGTCGAGTTAGTGGGCCTCGCATCTGGTACGAGCAGATCATGTTGCGTCTGCCCGACAGCGTGGGGCCGCAGGTGAGAATTCTGACGCCCGACGGTGATCAATACGTGGAAGGCCTGGGCGCTGGCGGCGACACCAGCGAGTTCGTCATCCTCGAGGGCGGCTGTCTGGGCCGCAGGGCGGTGGCCATCGGCGCTGACCATGTACTTCGATGTCGCAACGTGGCCGCCCCCGCCCAGATGCAGGCCCACCGTGATCGTGCCGCTGTCCGCCTCGGGGTTTCTCCTTGGGAGGACTTCGTAGTGAACCTGATGGGGAGGTTGGGCTTCGCCGGCATGCCAGGCGCGCCAGCGGCCGCGGCGGCCGCGCTTGGGGCATCTCCAGCCGCGGCACCCGCCGCTGGAGTGGCCCGGCTCGCAGCTGCGTCGGCCCCGCATGGCGCAGGCGTCGGCGCATGGCGCATGGCTGATGTGCGCATCCAGGCCGTTTTGTGCAGGGCAAACGCCGCAGGGCGTTCCTGGATGCCATCCTGCTGATGCGCGAGGACGCCCGGCCGGCAGATCCGCGGTCCCAGAACGGTGCTTTGGGCGCTGCGCTTCGTCGGGCAGAACGGGGGCAACCCCGATGGGAAGGAACGTGAGCTTTTGCTGGGAGGCTGGCCTCTCGACGGGGAACGACCTGGTTCGTGGCAGCGTCTGCGTCTGTCCGTCAATGTCTGATTACGTCAAGGGTGCCTTGGCTGATAATCACCAGATCGCAAAGGAGCACCGCAAGGTGCGAGAAGAGAAGGCCTTGAACAAGAAAGCCCCGAAGTAGGAGGGTAAGGAAGGTCCGGGGCCCGCGGATGAGTAGTGACTTCCTTCTGCGCTCTGGAATTGGGTGCCAGGGTTCGGGCAATCAATTTCGGTGGCCCAGTTTCTGGCGATGCACGGCAGAGGAACATCTTCCCGCTTCTTCTTCTCGACCTCCGTCCTGGCGTCGCGAGTCAGCGTAGCCGAGTGGTCTCTCGCCGCCGCCGTCGTCTGCAGCACTCTGTTACATGGGCAAGTCATGCGGTTCAAGTTTTAAACCAGATGTCAGGATATCAGGAGCCTGCGACCTCTCCGTCTTCTCTGTTTTCAGCAGGACCTGTTGGACGGGTTCCGAAACTGGTTCTGTCGTCTCGGCCCGCCTCCCAGCGAGGCGGGTTTTGCCCGGAGAGTCCCTAGCGAGCTACTGATCAACAACACCTTGTATGGGGATGCGGGTCCCATCGCGTGGCCAGACTGGGGCGCGGTCCCTGTAGACCTTGATCAGTTGCTCTCTATGGCCGATTCACTTTGGCTGAAGGACTGGCGGTCGCACGTGCTGAGGCTTAGGAAGGTGGCCGGAGCGTTGGTGCAGGAGGCTTGTTTCAAAAGCGCGTATATTGACCCTCTTCTATTTCGTTGCCTTTCAACTTGCGCTGATTTTCTCGGCTCTCTGGATCTTCGCGGCGTGCTCGCGTTTCAGCCTGCAAGGGGTCGGAAGGGACTTAGTGGCGTGTTCTGTGTAGACTACAAGTTCCCAGTGCGGCCCCTGCCTCGTCGCGTCAAGTGTTGTGCAGTGCGCGTTCCATCACGTGCGAGTGCCTGCTGATATGGTAGACTGATCTTCACTCATTCCTATTGATTCGGCATTGCTGGCCTCTTTCGGGATTCCTGGTGTGCCCGGTGTGCCGATCGAGTCTGGCCAGTTCCACCTGCCCTGCGTCGCTGTCGTGCCCACGGGGTTTGGATTGACACTTCACTTTTGCCAGGTCGCGATGCGGCATGCTATTTCCCAGGCTGGTTTCCAGGCGTTTCGCGTGATCTCGGATGGTGAGCCCGGGGTTGTTTTGAAAACTCTTGGCTATGCAGCCGCCGCCTCTTCTAGGGCTCTTTATCCCGAGCCGTTTCTTGGCGGCTTTGAGGCCCAGCGAGGGTCCCCGAAGGCCGGAAACGGCCAAACACTTCGTCGTGTTTGTTCACTACGCGAGCGTGTCTGGGTTTCCCCTCCAAAGTGTCTGGACCTCTTCCCCAGGTCTGGAGCCGCTTTTTGAGGGCCCCAGGGCCCCGCAAGGGGTTCCAGAGGCCGAAAACGGCCATAAACCTCCCGTCGTGATTTTGCAACGACGCGAACAGGTATGTCCGCGCCTACTTTAGAGGCCGCGCCAGCTACACGTGACAGGCCAGGGCGAGATACGGGGCACGACCGAAGACGAAGAGGGCGGGTATCGAGGCTTTGAAGTACACCTGTAGAATGACATGCGACCAACGCAGAGCGATCAGTCTTAAAATGATTATTGCGATTGATTCCTTCGGCCGCCGTCCCTTTCTTTTTCATTGTTTCTTGCTTTGGTGGCGCAATTCGCTACATCGGTGCCCCCGTTTAACTAGTTAACTCTCCCGCCAGCGCAGTTACTCTGCCTAGCCGCCGACGCAACAAGTGTGTGTGTGTGTGTGTGTGTGTGTGTGTGTGTGTTAGTGTGAATGTGTGTGTATATATACACGTTTTTTTCACGGTGCGAGCATAGAGGCTGGGCGTGGTGCGCAGCGTGGGCGCGCTGGCGGGCATCCTGGGCACGTGGCTCTGGCCGCGCTTGCAGGCGCGTCTCGGCACGCTGCCCGGCGCCTCCGTGGCGCTGTGGCTCTTCGTGCTCTGCCTGGCACCCGTGCCCGCGACCTTGGCCTCGGGGGAAGCCTTACATTCCCAGACTTCCATTCGGCGGCGAACGAGGGGGAAAGTGAGAAGGAGAAGGCCTGCTCAGAAGGTGGCGGGAGTTCTCAGAGGCCCTCGCGCCTTCTGAGAAGTTTTTTGTGTTTTCGGGGAAGGCTTAAAACACTTTTCAGAAGGCAGGTGGACTTCCAAGCCTTCAGAGAAGGCCAGCCCCCTCTCACTTCCCCCCCCAGGCTGGCCGCCGATCCATGAATTCCCTTCGGGGATCATCCGTTCAAGCGGGAACGATGCTCATAATACTAGCTTAGCATAGCCCCTGCGCAAGGATGACGCGCACAAGCCGAAAAGTGTATACATTTTTTTCAGGCGACGCGCGAGATCCCCAGGCATCCAACGTACTACTATCAAAGGACGATTCGGTAAGCATCGAGGGCCCTACGAGGGCCCGAGGTTCTCTGCGGTTCGCGATTCGCGATTCAGAGTCCTCATCCTCCTCATCCTCCTCGTCATCCTCTTCTCCTGGGGGGAGCGCCGCGAGAGCGCGAAGTTATTCGCGGTTCGCGCTTGGCGCTTCGTGCTCCGCGCAGCGCGAAGCGCAAACATGGCTGATTGCGTCGTAACAAATCGCAGCGGGAGGTTTTTGGAAGTTGTCGGCCTCTGGGGGGCCCTCGCCAGGTCCTCGGGCCGTCAAACAACGGATCGGGATCGAAACCGGTCTTGGGAAATGGTCGGTATTTTCCAGGGCAACGTATGGAACAAATCAAGGCATCGGATGTTTGGGTTCGTGCATGCGACCTTGGCTCGGGGGAACCCCAAATCCAGGTCTTATCAGAAAATAGTGGTGGCCTGTTTTTGTTGTCGTCGTCGTCGTCGTCGTCGTCGTCGTTGTCGTTGTCGTTGTCGTTGTCGTTGTTGTTGTTGTTGTTGTTGTTGTTGATGATTCTGTTTAACTACTGAAAACTATTCATCGTTGATCCCCCCTCCGGGGAACAGTATATTTTTCAACCATCCCGTGGTGTTGGGTCCTCGTTTTGAAAAGCGATCCACGCGTCCACTCTCCTTTCCTCTCCTCTCCTCTCCTCTCTTCTCTCCTCTCCTCTCCTCTTCTCTTCTCTCCTCTCCTCTCCTCTCCTCTCCTCTCCTCTCCTCTCCTCTCCTCTCCTCTCCTCTCCTCTCCTCTCCTCTCCTCTCCTCTCCTCTCCTCTCCTCTTCTCTCCTCCTCCTCCTCCGTAGCCATTTTTGCTCAAGTCCGTTCCTTCCGTGGGATCTCGGACTTGGGCCGAAATGTGTTCTGCTTTTGTTTCGCCCAAGGCTCCCTGGCCGAGCGCCGCGCCGCCTGCCGAGGCCCGCGCTTCCGTGTGCTTCCTCGATGCTTCGCGATGTGGTGCCTGAACCTCGTGGCCCTGGCCTTCGTGCCGCATACTCGGTCGCTGGCCGCTGCTCACGCCCGTCTCTGTCGTCACCTTCAGCAGCGGCAAGGGCAGTGCACCCACAAGCGACATCCTCTACAACTGCATCTTCTTTTGCCTGATGCACCTGTTCAAGATCACAGGGATGCCGCTCGTGATTGTCGCTATGCTCTCGCTGCACACGCGCCTCATCCTCCTCTCGTTCCTGTTTATTCTCTTGGGGTGTGCTCGGGCGGAGTTGAGGGAGAGCTTCAGAAACATGGCACTCTTCATATCTCAACTTCATGAGGAAGCCGCTGGTGGAGCTATGGGGCCACTGCCACCGCTTGTCGCTGCAGCTCCGCTACGTCATGGAGCTGGTCCGCTCCCCCAACAAGGGGCTGCACGTGATCTCCTTCCTCTGCCTCGGGTACCTCGCCGTGCGGATGCTGGTGCTGGCCCGCTCCCCTCACATGTTCATGGCATACAAGGCGCAGGTCCTACTCCCGACGTGTTTCCTGATGCTGCCCATGATCGTGGCCACCTACACGTACATCCACGCGTCCGTGTTGCCGCTGGGGCTCATTCATTTCATTCATCCGCTGTTGGTGCTGCTCATGCCGCTGGCACTGCTCAAGCAATCCCTCGTGAATCGGGCGCTCCTGCTGTGCCTCGCGAGCGCCGTGACTGCGACGCTGGGGATGGTCATGCTGCTGGCGGTCAACCGTTTCCTGAATCCGTCGTTTGTGATGCTCACGCCGCTGGAGATTCAATTGCAATCCCTCGTCTTCCGTGTGGCCCTGCTGGTTCCCATGCGCGTCCTGGATGTGACACTGGTGATGTTCATGCCGCTCGCGTCGCAGATCAACGTGAAGATGATGGTGACTCCGCTGAAGGCCTCGATCCTGCTGGTGATGCTCAAGCCGCTGGCGATCAACAATTTCCTGACCCTTTCTCTGGTGAGGCTCATGCCCCGGGAGATCAAGAGTGGCACGTTGACGACCGTCAGGGTAATGTTATTACTCAATCGGAAACCCGCCACCACCCTGCTGGTGCCGCCTTGCATGTTCTTCTGGACGATCGTGACGCCCTCGCTCTACCAGAGCCTCGCGGGCACGCTCTTGCGGATGCTTCTGGCGCCGGCAACCATCTCCTTGACGCGAACTTGCCTCCTCTCCGCACGGCTACGGTGTCTTCTGCTCCCGCCTCCCCGCTCGTCGCGGTGAACATGCTGGAAGACGCGCTCGCGGCATGTGGCACTGGCCAGAGAGCTGGCTTCGATCAGCGGCGAGTCTCAGCTGGCACTGTCGGAGAACATGCTAAATCAGACGACCTCCAACTACAAGCAGCTCTTCGACACAGTCCGCGAGCAGATGCAGCTGCTCACTAACTCAGTGAACAAGGACCTCGAGCCCCTCGGCATGCGGGTGGCGAAGATGAAGAACATCCACCAGCCCGCCAGCAATGAGTTCTCGGATGAACACTCGGCCAACCCACCGAAGCAAGAAAAGTCGAACATGCACGACGCGACTACTGTCACCAATGCCGAATTCGACGAGTACTTCGACAGCCAGCTCACGAACATCCGCTCCGCTGAATGCGTGGACTCGTTCAACTCGCGCCTGGGCTCCTATGCGGACTCCCTGGACTTCTTCCCGATTGCCTCGTCTGACAAGAACTACGTCCGCGACAGCTCCTCCCCGCGCGCCCTGAGCCAGGGCGCCGCGCGGTCGGGCTGCCGCTAGAGCGCTGAACGTTTCCGCCAGGTTACGTTCGCTCCTCCTCCTCCTCCTCCTCTTCCTCGTTCCGTTGCCATGTTGGCTCAAGTTGCAGGGCAATGCGCGGTATGAGTGGGCAGCTCCTTTGGAGCCATCCCAGGTGTCGTGCCTGGGCGGGCACTTCCATTTTTGCTCCTGTCCTCCAATCACCGCGCCACGTCTGCAGTCGAGGACGGCGTCAAGCAGATCCGTGCCCAGCTCGGTGGAACCAACCCGCGCGTAGCCGCAGTCGAGACACCCGTCGCCGCGCTCGACAACACCCGAGCCAGTCTCTCCGTTCACGACAACGCAATGGACGTGCTGACCCAGCGGCTCAACCTGCTCGAGTCCAGCATGACCGCCTCATCCGACGCGGCTGCCCTCGCAGCTTTCCGCGCCCAGATGGAGACCAGGATCGTGGCTATCGGCACTTCGCAGTCTTTGGGGATCTCAGGGTCTGTTGCCTCTGGTCCTCCGTTCGCGCGCCGTCGGCTCGGCGAGGCAGTCTCTACGCCCTCCCCTGGCAGCAGCGCCAGTCACTCCGCCGAGGACGACTTCAGCCCGCTGAAGGTCTGGGTCGGCGGCTTTACGCGCCCAAAGCTCAAGCAGTCGCTCGCAACGCATGGTGCATCCCTGGCGCAGAATTTGCCCACCCGCATCAAGCAGCCGGGGATCGTCGTTAAGGGCCGCAACCTCGCCGAGAGTTACTCCATCACCTTCGCGAGCAACGTCGACGCCGCCTCTTTCATCGATCATGCTCGGGCTCAGGACGTCCTTAGGAATGACCCGCATCCAGGTTCTCAGGTTCAGCTTCGTTGCAGACGAGATGTGCCTGCGTCAGTTCGCCATGAGAAAAAGTTCATCGGGCAGATCTGGCAGCTGGTCAACGCGCGTCTCCGCCAGACAGGGCAGTGGAACGACGCCGCATACAAGCTCGGGGTCGATGGGTTCCGCGGCATCCTCTTCTTCGCCATAAGCGACGTAGTGCACGAGCTTTCCGTGCCAATGCGCAGGACATCGGCCAAGTAGGTATCGCTCCGAACGCCGATGGGGGCCGCCAGTGTCCGCATTTCCGCAAGTCAGTCTGCGAAGATGATCGCAGCCGCGCGCTCGTCCTGACGCCATGTCACGCCGACCAGGTCAGCAGCTCTTCCTTCTCTTCTTATGGGTCGTCTCATTCTAGTTCTAGTTCCTCGTTTTCTGGGGCGTCTTGTCTGCCGTCTTCATTCGGGCCGTCACGCTTTTCCCTACTTCCTGGTTCCTGGGCCCATTCTCAGTGTATCTGGAAATCCCATCGCCTCGTCGTTTCCTGGAATGCGCGTTCGGGATCATTTCTGCTCTGGAAATCGCCATGAGCAAAATGTCACGCCTAGTATCCTACATCCAGAAGTATCAAGCGGTCTGTCTCCAGGGGGCTCAGGGGACGTGCGACCTTCAACGGCTGTGTTCAGAGGTGTATGACTCTTTGGGTAGCGGGTCCTTCCTCAAAGATCGGTCTGCGGCTGGCGTGCTCATTTTTGTTCATCACTTTCTGCGCGAGCAGTTCCAGTTCTGTGGGTATGCTGTTTTGGTCGCTGGCAGAATTCATTGTATAACCCTCGGGGGCCACCGAGGCACGATGCAGAGCACCGGCGTTCATCTCGACCCCTGTCGTCTGCTTGCCGAACAGACACGGCAGTTAATGATTGTGCGCCGTGCTCTTCTTCCCCCCCCCCCCCCTCCGCTTCAAGAGGTTTTATCCCCTGCAGTTTCAACTTTCCCGCCTTCGGCGAAGGCAGTTTTCGCGCCAGCGGTGCCGCGCGTGCTTCTTGCAGTTGCGCCGCCAGCTTGTTCGAACAGATCTTCGGGGACCTGGGCCAAGCTGA